ATATTGCTCTGGTGTTGTGGCCCAAGCACCATGCCAGACTCCTCTGCACTTTTCGATATTTAGTGAGGCTCCAGTAGCTTCGCAAAAGCGGCGTGTGAGCTCTATAGCGTGGATCACGCTTTTCTTGTCCTTGCAGAAGTAGGCTACATCATCTGCGTAAGCCTGGACTTTAATTTCTGTTTTGCACAAAATGTAGCCCTGTACTTGCTCACTTCTCTTTATACTTTGGCACAAGGGTTCAAGGTATAATGTAAAAAGCAAGGGGGACAAAGGACAGCCTTGCCGAACCGAAGAACGGACTGGAATGTTCGGTGTGACGTTATTGTTTATGACTAAGCTCGTGTAGCAGTTACTGTAAGACATTTTAACACCTTGAAATATCATATTTCCAACGCCAACATATGAAAGAATTGTAAAAAGCACGTTATGACAAACACGGTCAAATGCTTTCGCGAGATCAATCTGAAGTATTGCAACTTGACTACTGCTGTCGGTTACACATTCCAATACACTCCTCGCAATGTGAACATTTGTCTGGATGGCTCTACCACGAATGCCACATGTCTGGTGATTCCCAACTAGTTCGCAAATGACACGTTGTAATCTATTTGTTAACAATTTCGCGAATATTTTGTAATCTACATTGCATAACGTGATTGGTCTATAGCCGGTTACATGTAAGAGTTTCTGCTTGTCATCAGTCTTTGGAATGAGAATAGTATGTGTACGCAGAAATGAAGGTGGAAGAGAATTAGTTTCATAGGCCTCTTGAAAAATCCCTAGTAAGATGGGACATAAGATATTTTTACGCAATTTATAAAATTCTGCAGTAATGCCATCAGGACCTGGTGTTTTTTTATTTGGAAGGGCATCTACGACCTTTTCTATTTCAGTCATGCTGAAAGGTTCTTCCAGCTCTTTTGTGCACTGTTGATCTAACTGGGGCAGCAGAGATACTAGTTCTTTCAGATATTCATTATCTTTCGATGTTGCATTATTGCCAAAAACCTCCTTGTAATGTTCACAAAACGCATTCGCTATAATCTCTTTATCTTGGATAAGCACGCTATTTTGTTCTATTTCATGTATTTCTTTCGACATCGCGTACCTTTTTTCCTCCTCCATTGCCTTTTTTGTTGGCTGCTCTCCCAAGAAATATTTTTCAGCACGCGTGCGCACAACCGCGCCCTGGTAACGTTCGTGATAAAATTGATCTAATTCAGCTTTTATGCGAGTTATATCTTCTAAACCTTGCCCAGGATATTTGCATTCAAGATCAACCAAGACGCGTAAATTATGCTGCAGCATCTTTTCTGCCTCAGACTTCTGAAATTTTATAATACTACCTCTCTCAATTGCCAGCTGTTTGAGTTCTTGCTTGAAACGCTCCCATTTAACAAATATCTGCTCAGTTGTGTGTCCTATCTGCTGAAGCAGATCGGTCGTACTAGCCAGAAACTTTTCATCTTTTAGCAGTTGGTTATTAAGCTTCCATAGCTTCCAGTTTATATTTTTATTTTTACGTTTATGACCAACAGTTAGTGATACCATGCAGTGATCTGTAAAAAAGACTGGGTCTACCGCGTAACCATTTAAATTTTCAATCAGTTCTGTGGAGCAGTAAATTCTATCTAGTCTTGCGTGAGATGAATTTTGAAAATGTGTGTATGGAAGCTGTTTTCCGCCAAGCTGAACTGTAGCAGCATCGAAAAGATTGCTTTCATCAACTAAATCTAGCAGCAGCCTTGCGCTCTTGTCAATTCGCGCTTTAGTTGGAGCTCTGTCAGCTTCATCGCAAACACAGTTGAAATCTCCTAGAAGAACCAACATCCTGTCACAAATTAAATAAGGCCGGAGATGGTGAAAAAACGTTACTCTGTTAGCAACGTCATTTGGCGCATAAACACATATGACTCTCCACCTTGCGTCAAAAACTCGAAAATCGCACAAAATGAAGCGGCCACAAAGGTCTGTTGTGACCATTAATTCAGACAGGTGAAAAGACTTTCTAATGAACAATAAACAGCCACCAGACAGACCAACAGCATGGCTCACGCATACTTCGTAGTCTTGCAGAAAATATTTTAAGGCACGTTCTACCTGTTCATCAGTCGAAAGCTTTGTTTCCTGGATAGCCAGAAAATCGACTTCTTTATCTTCAATTAAGCGTTTTAAATGATACTGTTTTTTTCTAGAATTAAAACCCCTTACATTTAAAGTCGCAAAACGAGGGCCATCTACTAGGGGAAGGTGAAGGGGAGTGGGAGGAGGAGAAAGAAGGGAGGGGGAGGGTTTTGCTTATACATGAATGTCTAGCGTGAAAGGGTGGACTTTCGCTTACTCGCGACGGTGCCAGGCGGCACCTCTTTTTTTCGCTTGCTGTCATTAGCGTCCTTAGTGCTGATTGTTGTGTCCATCTCGGTTGGGGGCTCCTCTTTGCGATCCGATGACTTGTGGTCTTCTGTTGTATCTGCTATCTGCCCAGGTGCTTTCGACGTTTCCTGGGTGTCTTCCTGATTGGTCTCCTGGCAAGCTGTTACAACTGCTTGCGTGGTCGCGCTGGCTTGACTCTCAGAAAGTCTTTTGTCAGTTGTGGCTTTGCTGTCATCAGAACTCGGAGGCACGGGGTCTTTGGGCCTCTCTTGTGAGGAAAGAACCTCACCGCTAGCGTCTACCACTTCGGTTATGTCAATCAATAGTTCCGAATGGGCGTCTGGTTCGATGAAAGGACCTCGTAGCACGGTTGCATAGCTAGAGTAGCACTCGTCACTTTCATGACCAAATCTGTTGCAACGTGCACACTTTGGAGTACGACACTGTCTACGGATGTGGCCGACCTTTTTGCATCGTAGACACAAGGGTGGCCGTCCGGTCATGACCACAAGACACTGGGAACCGGCGACTTTGAGCAGATGAGGCACGTTTTCCGTTGTCGCTGTGTCATGTAGAGTCAGACAGACTTCTCTGTTCATTGTTTCCATGTTCTCCATCCCTGGAACTCGCCACTTTTCTCGCGTCACGCTCCGCACAGTTCCACAGGGCGCCAACGCCTCAGCGATCTTCTTGTCTTCTAAATACAGTGGCAGCCAGAGAAGCTTGATCTTTACATCTTTAGAATTTGGATCTATTACGAGACATTTCTTTCCTTTCACGTTCAGTTCTTTCACCGCTTTCAGCCTTTCCGCGGCTGCGGGGCTTGCGAGCGTTGCCATCCAAAAATGGCTCATCTGAAACTGCCCCAGGGACAGCACTTCACTCAAATCGATTACATCTTTCAGACCATCGCGAAAGTCTATCGCACGGTAGGGTCGGCCTGTAAGGTCAGCATGGAGAAAGACGGAGTTGAGGCATAAAGCTCCCGGTGGGAAACGAGGAAGGACAATCCTGTACTCATCTTGGCTTGCCGCCTGCGCCCGGGCGTCCCCTGGGCCTACGGGTACTGTCGTTGAGTTGTCCGGGTACATCCTTTGAATGTCGGTATTAACGGTTAGACCTGAAGTAGAAGGGTTTCCTCGGCCTGAGGCCGATTGTTGATTTTCACTGGAGAACATGAAAATACGTCCGTTCGAAAACGGCGTCTTCTTCTTTCTCCTCTGAGCTACTGGGGCATATCGAAAGTGGGGTATCTTTTTCCTTAGTCAGCCGATAAACTGTAGGTTGGAAAGTTTGCTGCCGATTTTCCTCTAGCAAAAGCACTCCCGGGTCGAAGTCGGGATGCACCACGCATTGGCGACATTCTCACCTGGTAAAGAAATCGTACGCGTGCATATTCCACTCGAAGTAGACACGTCGCGCTTGACGTTTGCGCGAGCGATGTCTTCAGCCACGAGAAGGGAGCGACGGCTCGGCGACGTCTTCGTGCAAATCAGCTTGGTGGTCGGGCGTGTCGTACGGGATGAATACCAATTCTTTTGACCAGTCCCAAATTTCTCTTTTAAAGGCAGACAAAATTCGCCGGTACCGCGAACGACAGTTCTGAAATAGAGGTCCCACGCCCGTCGTCCGCTGCCATCGCCGTCCCTGCGAGTCCCACGATACGCGAAACGACGCACGCACAGAATGCTTCCGGTTGTCTGTGGAACTTTTTTTTCAATCAACGTATTTGCAGCTTTTTAGAAGCCACAAAAAATGGGTTTTATATTTTTTTCTATTTTTAATATTGAGTGTGTGCTTTCAGTGACCCACGACTTTGATTAAATTTGGTGGTCGCATCGATACCTTAAGAAAACGGCCCGTGACCGCGGAAAAGAGAGTGAGCGAGACTCGAACCGGCCAGTTCTTGATCGGCGGTTTTCGGGCGGAAAAAAACCGAATTTCGAGCCGCAAATTCTGTTCTGGGTAGTTGAGCTCTCATATGTCACGTACAACTAAAAACCTCGGCGAGCATAAATACCCTGTCAGTGTCCCTTTAAATTGACGCCGCATATTTGCGTCGGTCGCAAGATAAGCAGAATTCGACGATATTGTCCACTGTATAATTTTCTTATAAGTCGGTTCGAGTGCTTCAGTCAAAGCGTTAGTGTGTGTTTAGGAACAGGTGAAGCGTAGAAAAGGACACGCATCAACCGCGAAACTGATACGAAGAGATGAACTGTAGCAAATGCGCGGTCTATCACGCCCATACCGAAACCGAAACCAATTTATGGGGAACTGCGTAGGGGATGAACACAGATCTGTTAGCTCCGCCTCTTAGCTTCTCTTCATTGCCACAGAAAGTTGACTCCCTTATCCTTGCTGAATCTTTAGAAAAGTTCGGCAAAAGGTCGGCGCCGAATTTTTGATTCGGCAAAAGTTCGGCTCATGCCCATCCACTATTTGCTCGTGTAAATCAACGAGCTTGTGTAAATGAATGCTAGGTTACGCTACCTACCGTCTAATTTAAATAAATTTACTATTTATTTCTCTACTTATTTAAACAAATGTTACATGAATTGTTATCCATTTATCTGTATAATTTGATCACAATCACGTGGCCACGTTGGTCACGTGTTGTTTTGGTTATGGCGGTTATGGTGGTCGGTACTTCGAACCAGTAACTTCGTAGTCTTCAGAAGCTCTGGGGGTTTGTAGGACTTCGTACATCCGAGGCTACATCATGGCCGGCAGGGAGTTTGCACGCGGACTCTTAGAGAAGTATGGATGGTCCGAAGGTATGTCCTCTTAGCTAGTGCGATCAGGCAATCAATTCATCGGGCTTTACCACAAGCAGCAATCGGTATGCTCGTCCCACATGGCTGGGCGGACATACTCCAAAAAGTATTCGGGAATACAAATACTGAGATACATGTGTTTTAAGGCCAAAATACAGATACTGAGATAATTTGTCTTTTATGTAACGGAATATCCCTGGGATACTTATGCGAAACCGTCGAGAAAGTAATCCGGGATACAGATAAAATACATTTGTTCCCGAGTGGTGCTAGGTGGGCAGGGTGTAGTTCGTGGCGAATACGAATGATAATTTATGCTTAAGCTCCTTTTTCTGTGCCATTTTATGCTGTTCCCCTTATCTCGAACTTTTTACTTATCATTAATGCCGCTACAGAAAACATGTCACCTCCGTTGAACCACATAGTTACAGAACGGTGATAATAATAATAATAATAATTTTTATTTGCTCGAGAAAGTTTACCCACTCAGCGGCGTGCAAGGCTAGACAGAAAGGTTAATACCCTTACGCATGTGCGCCTGCTAGCCCGCCGCTGAGTAGGTGTAAACATAAACAAACACTAGTCGTAAGTACAAGATAAGAATAACACATATACACGTATGGAGACAACGAATAATCATAACCCAGAGAGGAAGATAAGAAAACTCGCTGTGCCCCAACCCACCCCCATGCAGACCATGGCAGAGGCCCCAGCCACAAGGCCAAACCCGTGAGCACACTGCTGTGCGTGGTGCACCTCACACAGCCGAGCCCGCAACCGCAGCCCCCGCCACGCCCCGCCCCAGGGTGACACGGAGCACACGTGAAGACCCTTGGGCGAACCTCTAAAGCGCGATCCAAACCAACGCTTCTTTTTGCGCCTGTAGGTCGTGCGGCTGCGGATGTGACGTATTTTCGTGACGTCGCGCCGCTTCTTCGCTCCTTCCGGGCGCGCATAAAAAAGTTGGTTGATTTCAACTTCTTTCTCAACGCGCACAAAAACGCGCGGTGACGTAGTAGGGCGCTCCTGTGTCCCGGCCAATCGGTGGAGGGCAAGCTAGTTCCGGCTTCGCGTTTCTCGCCGTCTGGCTGCCCTCTCCTCCACCCCTTTTATTCTCTTCCAACATGACAACGCGATCTCTCTCTCTCTCTCTTTCTCTCGCCGTCTGGCCGGCCAGTCTGTCGCAGTTGCACTTTGCTTGTGCGCTCGTGCCGAAGTTTCGCCCGTCCAAACCAAAGCGCACGGTTCTGACTCAGAAAGCGCAACCGGAAACAGCAAAAACGCCACGAAATGCGTCACATCCGCAGCCGCACGACCTACAGGCGCAAAAAGAAGCGTTGGTTTGGATCGCGCTTTACGGGCCATCAACTTGTGAGCAGGTGCTGGCCGTATTGTCTGCATAGCTCATGGGATTCCTCCCTGCCCCATTGAAGAGGTTTGCACTCCCTCAGCAAAACAGAGAGAAGCTCACCTACGCCTGCAGCGATCGCGGACAGGCCATGCTTTACAGTCCTGGCATGCAGTGGCTCAGGCTGGCCAGTACGTCTATTCGCACGCACTGCCATTGATAAGTAAGACCCAGTCAGTGAGCCGTCCAGAGCGCGGCAAACCAGGCGCACGCGAGCCATTCTCCGACGTTGTTCAAGTGGCCGCTACCCCGCAAGTTTAAGTCGGGTTGAATAATCTGCGTCCGTGGAGCCCGAAGCGCGTGCGCAAAGCGTCCGGGAGCCGTGTCTCTGCACGCTCTCAATGCTATCCACAAGATGGCGCTGAGACGGGGACCACACAGAGCTACAATACTCCAACGACGGCAGCACGATCGAAATGTACAAGGTGCGGAAGGCCGAGGGTACACTTGGCCTGGACACCCAAGACACAAACCCCATGGATCGTCGAGCCTTGGCCACAACACTGGCTATGTGGAAAGAAAAATCCAGTGTTCTCGTAAATGTGACCCCTAAGAGTCGCATGTGGCTAGTGGCACACCAAGCAGATGGTAGCAGGGTTTCTCCACCTTGCGGGCGCTGCTAAAGCGCATCACAGCACTTTTCGCGGGGCTAAGCCGCAGGCAATTGTCAGTCGCCCAGCCCTTCATGTTGTTTATTCTTGGAGGAGGAGGCAGGTGTCTGGGGAAGTCAGTGGGGCCAATAACGACGTGTCGTCCGCAGACTGGACGAGAGGGAACCTGTCGTCCCGGGGCATGTCATTGACATAGATTAAAATAATGTAAGACCCAGGACCGACCCTTGTGGCACACCGAAGGGGACGTTCATTGCAGCCGAGCGCACACCTCAGTAAAAGACTTGTTGCCTTCTTCCGCTCAGAAAGTTTGACAGTCACTTCAGCAGAAAACCCTGGATGCTGACGCCCGACACCTTGCGTAGCAGGAGACCGATGTCGAGGGTGTTGAACGCGTTGCTGAGATCAAGCTGAACGAGATCTGCCTCTGTGCGATTGTCGTTGCAGTTGCTTACGAAATGGCTCAGGGTCGCCAGGGCCGTCTCACAGCTATGGTTTTGTCTGATATCATGCAGTGACTGCGATAAGTAGCCAGTGCCCTCAAGGAAGTCGAGAAGCTGGCTGTTCACCACGCGTTCGAATGTGCGGCAGATGATCGACATTATTGAAACCGGACGATAATGCGTGACGTCATCTGTAGGCTTTACTTTCCCCTTGTGGATTGGGGTGACCAAGGCGTGTCGCCAGGAAGCATAAACAGCTCCCACGTCGAAAAGACTCTGAAGCACACAGGCGAGCGAGGGCAAAGTGTGCTGCGTGATCATTCTGAAAAAGGCAGGTGCCACACCGTCTGGGCCAGGACATTGCGAATGCTTGATCTTGGACACCTCAATGCTTAGTGCTTCCGTTGAGAAAGTGATCTCCTCCAGGCCTGATACATCGGTTCCAGATGATGATGGTGCGAAAGCAGCGGAATGCGCAGACAGCCGCTGTCCGTCGGTGTTGTAGACAGACGAGAAGTGGTCTGCGAAGAGTACAGTAATCTCACCGGGGGCATCGATCATTCTGCCGTTGGCGCTGAAGCTGGGACGTTAGCAAGGCCTTCTGAGGCGACTTGCGTACCACCAGAGGGCCTTTGCTTTTTGTGCTATCGTGGAGGTGTAGCGCTGGTGTGCGACATGTATGGTAGCCTTTAGAGCGCGTTGGTGGTCTTTTGCAGCGTGTAAAGCCATGGGACAGTTAGAGCGGGAGGCTTTCCTAAAGAGTACCCTCTTTATTCTTGCAGCGAGAATAAAGGCAGGCAGAGCTCCACGAAGAGTGCTTCGAGACCTTGGTGTTCAAGGTCCGTGCGACGAAAAACACGTGCCGACGCCGGGAAGGCCAGTAGGACACCCCCCCCCCCTGCCACACCCGTCTTTCCAGAACACAGTGGAAGCATTCGTGTCGAAAAGTTCGCTGTCTGCTACACCCGCGTCGAGCCAAGTCTCTGTGAGCAACACAACAGAACCTGGGGGCAACGAAGACACGTGTGCCTGGAGGTCTACCACCTTGTTTCGAATGCTTCGGCAGTTGCCGTACCAGAACGTTGTCACCTTCCTCCCTCCGCCGGACGATCTCCCCTTTGCAGCAGGCGTAGGTACTGTGGAAGGCTGTATCGAGGAGGCCCCAGGCAGGTCAAACAAGTCATCCGCAAAAACGGGCAGGGAGCAACCCAGGCAATACCACAAATCGTTGCTGGAGCTCAACTTCCTGTACTTTGGCAAAAAGACATACATGCATGCACGGTGGGACCAGCGGTCACATGCATCACAGCACAGCGCGGCCTGGCAATCCAGAACACGTTTGGTACGACGGGTGCAGGTGGGGTGCTGAGGTCCTGGGTTTGAAGCGGCATCGCCAGAGAGAAGAACTGTCGCATCGACCAGCCACTCGGTACTGAGGCAGAACAACAAGCAGGCAGCAGAGTGTCTCCATCGCGGGGTCATAAGTCCTCTAAGCCTAACGGCAGCACCAGGTCCGTTCAAGCATCTCGTGTAGGACGCGAGACCGCGAAGGCCCACGCTGTTTGGAGGAGAGATGCAGGTGGAGGCACGGTAGGTGGCGAGTGACAGCAGCAAGAAAAAGGCAAAAATGCTGCGAGACAAACGGCAACCTGTACGTACGGCCATCTTCGCCGTGCCCTGCTTTACAAAAGGCGTTTGCCCGAAATGTACCCTGTTTTGCCGTGAGGGCGCATCTCAGACTATTGTAGCTTCTGAGTCATCCATAGTGTGGGGAGATTAGACAATAGGACCACACTTTTTCTTCACTCAACTCCTTTACAGCATTCTCTCTGCTAAATTGTAAAGAATGGAGAGCTTTGTGAGAGGAGCTGATTATGTTGTTCTTGCCCGTAAAGGCCCATTTACACTCTTGCGACCGAGTACGACTGAGAGAGACGAGATCTCTTAAAACTTCTTAAATGTTTTTAGAGTGAGGGAACACACTGGCATTGTGGCGCCATCTATGCGGTGACCCTGGAACTGCATTTCACAAGAGCGAAGGTTTTGCGGGATTTCCGAGGTCAGATGTGCGTAATACCCATAGAAAGGGTCGTTTATAACATAGACAAAAGTTTTTCGAGCCAAGAAAGAAAGGATAATGCTCGAGAAATAAAAAAAAAAATATGCCGGACCGCCGAGTTTACACTGCTTCCCAATAGATGGCGCCAGTGTTTTCTGGCTTAAGAAGTTTTAAGGAACCCAGGTTTAAGAGGTCGCAAGAGTGTGAATGGGCCTTAACCTTTTCTAAACCACAGGGTTTTTTTGTTTTTTTTAATGTCGGTGATTGAGATGGATTATGCTATAGGGTGGATTGGTATTTTAAATTACAAAGCAACTTGCACCAAAGAGATGTTTTTATCTTTTAAATTTACCTTAAAAAGGACAACATATGTAATGAGATACTTAAGTCTGGCAAAGTATAGGGAGTATTCACTGGTGGCCATAGCCGCGTGCGTGACTGCTGAGCGCGTGCTGATGGCGAGCTTCCACAGTTCTTTTGCAACGTGCATTTCACAGCCTCAAGATTGCCGGTCTTAGCAACCTCTTAATGTGAGTTCGTTCTGAGCATGCGCTCTAAACAGCACCCACAAATATGGCGTCGAGTGAATACTCTTTATTGCAATACATCTGAAATGTATTTCACTACTGAGATACAAACACATTTTTCAAACGTATCTCGATACAGATACTCAAAAGTATCACTAAAATACTATCGCAATATATTTGTATCGCAATACTGCCCAGCACTGGTGTTTCATACATCACATCTCACATCATCAAAAGAAAGAAATAGAAAAGTGTATCTGTCACTCGATTTAGCCGAGCAGTTGTTATTTCTTTTGATAGCTTTGAAGTTTTGAATCCTGTATTTGGCAATCGCTCTTGTAAGGTATCACTCTGCATGGTACTCTCATTTCGAGTCTGCATTGAGCTGCGCTCTAGAGGTAGTTTAGTTGGAGTGGCTTGAAGCTTTCCATCCCTAGTGTTCTGAAGCAAAGTAATGCTTTGTGTGAGTGTAGGTCCCCATCTAGCTTTGCAGGCCACGCAGTGTGATTCATTCATGATATTAGGTTTGCTAATGTGCGGCCACGCCGCACATGCTGCCATGTTGAGAATATTGTTACTGGTTGTTTTGGGGGCTAGGGATAATATTGGATCTTCCAATCCGGAAAGTGTAGGTTCTAGACTGAAGGAAGCGGTACATTGAGATTTTTTACGTTAATAGTTATTATTGATCAACAGGTGTCAACGAATACACTAGCTGTGAATGTGCTGTCTTGTTCGAAATGTCTTATCACGAGGTAGAAATCTCTAATCTATCTTTAAATTTTTAGCAGTCTTCTCTCAAGTTTGGGTAACTTGTTCCCAAATCAAAGTTTTCTTTCACTGGCCATCGCAATCTTGTGCTTGTTTTCATCGTGATCAAGATGGCTTGACACTTAAGGTGGCAGCCTTTGAAATGTCTGCTGAATGATGAGAATACAGAAAGTACAAAAGAACATGACCTATTATTGCAGAATTAAAGGCCGACATACATTTCGCGCTTTTCACTTTTGCCCGCCTCCTCCTTTGCTATATCCTCTCCACTTTTTACCTTGCCCCAACTTGGCTCCCCCTTGCAGTTTGGGAGAGGGAAGCGTTAAGAGGATTATCTTTCCTGCAGAAAACCAAGGTTGTACGTCGGCCTTTAAGGAAAGGCCTCTCACGCTTATGGGAACTCGGAAGTTGCCGAGTTACTGTTTTTGAGTTTTTGAGGGGTTTGTAAACTATTTACCAGTCTGTGTTTGTTGGACTAGCCTGAAAGCAGAACCCTGTAATACCAAAGCAGAAAGGGGGACAGGGCCAGAGAATCTAGGAAAATATGTTTTGCATATTGCATACTTCAGTAAAAGCATTGCAGTATGTTTTTTTTCAGATTATGGTATCTGAAAGGGATTTGAGATTTCTTCGCACGAAAATATTTATGCATTTCATGGTGGCAGTTGCTATTTTCATGCGGGGAACAAGCAACATTTGCTCAGTTCTCTCTATAAATACGCCTGCAACTTTTAATCACCCACTTGACACCACTTTTTGAATCAACTAATGCTTTCGGATAGTTTTTGTGTCAGTATACTTCAGTGCACATAGCACAACTTGTCCCGCTTATCTCTTTCTTTTTCTGCCACAGGGAAGGGATTGGGGAAGGATGAAACTGGAATAGCACATGCTTTGAGGCCCAGACTCAAGTTTGACACAGCTGGTGTGAGTATTCAGCATGTGGGGTGTTTAGAGTGTGGATATGGGATATGCAGCTGAGAGGTTTGGAGACAGTCCAGCGCGTGGTGCTGCGCGTGTGCCTCGGCTCCACCACTATTTAACGCAGCCTGGCAAGTAAAAGCTGAGAAAGTTTCATCAACAGTGGCCTGATTAGTGTGGTAATACAAAGTGTCCATTTTGTTGGAGTCATCACCTGCTGCATGAAGATATTGACGAACATGTGGTTAGAGTGTGACTTCACACTTTGCAATGTTGCCACGACTGCAAGTACTAGACATTTCTGCATGTGACAGAACTTTTTTAAGCAGTTCATATGCTCGCAATTTAATTGAAAAACCTTACATTTCAGATATGACTTTCGTGTAGGCAGGATAAGGCCAATTTTTTTTTATAGCCCCCTATTAGGGTGTGCGAAGATTTGAGTTTTTAATTTTATTCTAATAGTGATTGCCCAAATATTTCTGTTCAACTTTTGGATTCCTAGTATTTGAGTTTTCAAATTATTCGAGACATTGAATATCAGTACTGCGCTCTATGTAGCTTCTTGGATGCGTTTATAAAGAATTGCTAAGCCATGCACCTCGCTATTTGAAATTCATGTGTTACTTGCAGCCAACTCTGTGCACTATGAACCTGTTCTCGGGTGTTGCATCCATATTATGACAAGTTATTCTCAAAATATAAATAACGGCAATAATTGAATCTGCCTCTTCTGCTAATCTGCCGCCACCATTGTCAAATCAAAAACCCGCAATAGAAACTGCAAAACACGGCTAAGACCCGCTTCATTTCAAATGTAGCGCAAAGGTAGTTCAATACAATTTACTGCCATAATTAGTCTAGAAACTGTATAATAAATAAAAAGAACCCTTAGTCCCTTTTTTCCTCAAGACCACTTTCATGCACAGAACAATGCCCACTGCATCATCTTGCTTTTACCAGGTGTGTTACCATACCTGTCGACATGCACTGCCATCATTGCAATATTCTGTGCCGCATTTGGTGGCAGTTCACAGCTTCAGCAACCAAATTCACATGCTTTGCAGAAAGTTATGTTTTTCAGTAGGAGCTTATAACTCGTCTTTCTTCACTTGGAATTTCCAGTAACCACTGACTTCTCAAAGTTTATAAACCTACAGCCCTATTTTCTTAAGTTTTGTGCGTATTAAAATTATGGACTTAAAAAGTGCATTCAGATATTTACCCAGAAATCTGTTCAAAGCATGTTTCAAGTTTCCCTTCGTAATATTTTAATGGCATAGCAAGCGTTATTCTCACTGACAACAATTTTGCTGAGAATAAGCAAAGATGATGACCCAAAGACTTTAACTCGCCACCTGAACTTAAAAGTGCACTAACGATGTTCCTGAGGTTGTCTGTTCTTGGTGATAAGTGATTCTGCAGCATCTTAGCATCCCAGAAATCGAAAAATTATGCTCATGCAACGTCTATTTCTCTACTAAAAATGTTATTGAAGTTTATGCCACACCCCTTTCTGAGAGAAAAAATCTGGAGCCCTAAATTTAGCGGAGGCACCGGCAGCGTGACGACGGGCATGCGTCAGCCAGTCGCAAGCCACCTCTCGGAAAGGCGGCTTGCGAGTGGCTGACGCATGCCTGCCGTCACGCCGCCGGCGCCTCCGCTCAATTCTATGCTCCATATTTTTCCACTCGGAAAGGGGCGGTGCAAACTTCTATCGCATTTTTAGTAGGGAAATAGATATTGCACAAGCATCATTTTTGGATTTCTTGGATGCTTTGAGCCCAAAAGATAAGTTATCACCGAGAACAGACAATCTCAGAAACGTCTTTAGTTTACCTTTCAACTCTAGAGCATGTTAGACCAAAAAAAAATGCTAACTTGACTTGAAAATTGCCGAAAGTCCCGCCACCCACAAAACGGCAAGTTTTTCTGCTAGATAGCGCTAAAAACTGGTAAATTTAGCAGGAAAAAAGCTGAATTGGCAACACTGCCTGGCACTTCTTGGAGCGCTGAGCGAAGTGTCGGGGCAAGGTGATGACACAAGACGCCACCCTGTTTAAACGGTTCAGCCATAACGGTCTGTTCACCCAGCTTGCTGCATATTCTCAGGAGGATGGGTGGGTACATCCTATAGCTATGAAGGAGGCACTAAAGTGGGCTTTGAGATCCTTGTTTTATGGTCATAACTCAATCTACTAGTTCTAAGCGTCTTAAGAAAGCCGAAATTAGAGTCATGCCCGCCCGATTTGTGTATTAAAAAAAAGTTATCAAAAATCCTGGCACTTACTCTAGGCGCAGAACAACAGCTAGAGCTACCGAACTTCGCTGAATATATTTGACTGACCGACAGCGCTTGTCAGCCACTTGCGAGCGATAGGTTCTCACATGGACGAGCGTTCGACCAAATTCAGCAAGGTTTGGTAACGCCGTCTGTCGTTCTGCACGAACAGTAAGTGTTCGGATTGTTGATCATGTTTTAGAGCGCAGCTCTTAGGGGCCCGTTCCCGGCTTGAGCGGCGTCGCCGTCGCCGTCGCCGTCGCCGTCGGCGTAACCGCGCGGTGCATCATGGGAAATGTCCCATAATGCACCGCGCGAGTCCCCCACCGGGGTCACGTGACCCCCCCCCCCCCCCGAGGTCATGTGACCCCCCGAAGTCACGTGACTCCCCTGAGGTCACGTGACCCCCTCCTCGAGGTCACGTGACCCCCGCCGATGTCGCGTGACCCCCCGATGACGTCATCGTCACTGATGACGTCACCGGCATCCACATCGTCATCGGCATCATCACTGATGACGTCACCGGCATCGACATCGTCATCGTCACTGATGACGTCACCGGCATCTGCATCGTCATCGTCATCATCACTGATGACGTCACCAGCATCCACATCGTCATCGTCATCATCACTGATGACGTCACCGGCATCCACATCGTCATCGTCATCATCACTGATGACGTCACCGGCATCCACATCGTCATCGTCATCATCACTGATGACGTCACCGGCATCTACATCGTCATCGTCATCATCACTGATGACGTCACCGGCATCCGCATCGTCATCGTCATCATCACTGATGACGTCACCGGCATCCACATCGTCATCGTCATCATCACTGATGACGTCACCGGCATCCACATCGTCATCGTCATCATCACTGATGACGTCACCGGCATCCACATCGTCATCGTCATCATCACTGATGACGTCACCGGCATCCGCATCGTCATCGTCATCATCACTGATGACGTCATCAGTGACGTCACTGATGTCGTGACCGGCATTGGCATCGTCATCGTCATCATCACTGATGACGTCCTCAGCGACGTCACTGATGACGTCACCGACATTCGCATCGTCATCGTCATCATCGCTGGTGAAGTCATCAGTGACGTCACTAATGACGTCATCGGTACCCGCATCGCCATCGTCACTGATGACGTCATCAGTGATGTCAGTGATGACATCATCGGCATTGGGGGTCACGTGACCCCCAAGGTCCATGACCCCCTCCCTGGTTAGTTTAACCCCCCCCCCCAGTGCCCTTCCCTCCTCCTCCTCCTCAAGAGCTGCGCTCTAATTCGGCGTTACAGGGAGTTGTAAGCGGCTTTCATTTTTTTTAATATGCAAATCGGCTACGCATGAATTTAATTTAGAGTTTTTTAGTATGATTAGTGCCCATAGATTGAGTTATTACAATACAACGAGAATCTCAGAAGGCACTTTAGTGCCCCTTTAAGGTTATTAGCACCAGATTTGTTTTCCGTCCTAGCCTCTCTTTTTTCCACGTGCCCTTCTGGCAAATAAACAAAAGGGCTTTTTCCTCCTCTAGAAGGTGTTCTTTTCAACCTTTGGAACATTGCGGGGAAGAAAACAGCAGATTTCGGTATTCATATTTGATACAATATATGACTGTTTAGCCATTATTTGGCACTATTTGATGTGAATTTGATGCTTCTTTTATTCTGAACGAACTTTGGGCAATTGGGAATGCAGCGAGATTGAAGGCGCCGTGCAACAATATTTGGACCTCAGTAATATAATTGTGGGAGTTGTCATGCCTAAAGTAAAGAACTGAAAACCAATTGTGCCTGCATGTGTTACTTAATTTTTTTTTAATTCTCAAAGATTGAAGGTATGTGCACCTCTCGTCCACTTTCAACCCTTGCACCGTCTTCCAAGTCACGCGTGCAGTGACAAATAGCTGGGTGTACTGGGGACACAGAGTTTTCGGTTGGGTTCTCTCGTCAAAGCCTCCAGCGTGTGCTACCCCTTCGACTACCAACCACACCACAGTTGACAGAACAGCAGAAATCGCTGGCCGTTCAAATTGCGGTGGAGAATCACGTGACAGAAGGAGAAACACTGCGGGAAAGCTTGCGCTTAGAATGGTGTTTTCCTGTTTCAAGCAGACAACATGCAGAGAAAATGCACAGTAGGTCTAGTTTCCCGGAGTCCTTCTTTTTGCGCCCATTTCCTGCTTCACTGGCAAGTTCTGAGTTCCCCCTTGGAGGGGTTTAACCTCTGCGTCTGAGTTTCGTGACCCGTTTGTAAGGTTGAATCCCCCTTTCATCTTCCCTTTTCTGCCTAAACGTCTGTATTCGCATTCCCGGGAGAATAACTTAAATGTGTTTTAGACAACGAACTTTAGAAAAACGCTAGACAGTTGTAAGCCAATCGGTGTTTAATGTGCTTGTTTCTTTTTAAGTAAATAAAATAAAAGATAGAAACGGCAAATAAGGCGTTGAGGTGGTTGTTGCAAAACAGTGAAACCCATTGTGTGTGTCCGCTTACTGAGGGCAACATTGGGCATCGTATTAGCGAAAAACGCTCGTGGCCGACAGATGTGAGACGATATCTTGCGAACCGTGATGCAGTGCTGCTAGCAACAGTGATTTCAGCTACAGAATCGCAATGTCAATGAGGAGAGTGGTCCTACGATGAAGCGCAGGCAGCCCACACACCTCAATCTAACCCTCCGCACCAGCAGAGCTTGACAGAGCAGAAGGAATGGTTTTGTGTGCCTTGGGCAGATGGCGCTACTGGCTTTTAGTGTAATAAGGGTGTGTCGAGGACACAAGGCTTTTGACGCATTTATTCATGTTGAAACAGCAAAATTCATAAAATGCAGCATTAGATCAAGCAGATCAAGGCACATCTTGCTAACTTATTAGAGGACACCCGGGTTGATGTCACATCAGAGTTCCCATGGCTGCCACTTGCAGCTGAAAGCTGCGAAATATTTCTGTTTTGCTAATAACCAGCAAAACCAAGTTTAAAAGAAAAAGGAGTCGTTTTTCTATCCTTTTTCCCAAGATACACAACTTGAAAGTTACAAGCTGCAAATTCTTTAAAAATTCAAATCGTTGCATCACCTCTTTAAACTCAGAATTTTTAGGAATTAAAAATAACAGAAATATACTCCGAAATGCGCCCTCCGAGTTTCACTAAAAGTAAACTCCAAAAGCACGGAACCCTGATCATGGGACATGTGTTGGTTGATGGCCGGATCAGAGGTCTCCAAGAAACATACATGTGTGACGTGAATGCCACTCGGTTTACAGGTCTTGATTGGTGTTCTATGCAGGTGGGGCACAAAATAGACCTGACATCTCAGTGGTGGAGCCAGTCCTTCAACGAGGCTGCTAAGAGTCTTACAGTGCATGTTTCTGAGGTAGGGCTGTGCAGTGCTTGTTTTATTAGCCGGATTGCTTCACCATCTCCGTGCTTCGAATTGTGGAGTGTAATCAGGTTACTGAGTTAGATGTAGAACAGCTTAGCCAACCTTTTACCTCACCAGCATCTGGAAGCACTAATTGGACTGGTATATGCAAAACTTTATAAAAATCTAAGTTAAACGACTAATAAAAGGAACACACAAATGCTGGCACACAACTGTTTGATATGTGAACAAGAAAAGACTACACCTCGGCTGCTATGCAAAATGAGGAAGAGCCCATCTACATCATATTAACTAACGCTTTTAAGACACTTTAGACTGCTCACAAAAAACGTTCAGCCTTTCCACTCTCGTGAAGAAGGAAGACCAGCGGAGCTCTATTCAACACACTGCTGCGACGCGCACGCGCCCGTTTCCTGCTTCTTCTTGTCCGACACGCCGCTGATCGTGAATATGTCTCCGGTGAACCAGAGTCAGTCGCACACGGCGCACGTGACGCCAAATGGGTTCTCCACGAACTCTCTCCGGAACCTCGCCGTCGCGCCCGGGAACTGTTCAGCCGGCGTGGAGTGCAGTCGTTGTCGGGCCTCACGCTTGCACTTGGCCTCCGTGGCACGATCATCGTCCGTTGCGTTGGCCCGCCGGCGCCCTTTACATTGCTAGTTCTGTTCTTGGCGGAGGCTTTCCAGGCGAGCGATGTGCTCTTCTTTGGCAAGGGAATCTAAAGCGCTCGACGCAGTGCAAGTCGAGGCGACAGCGGCTTTGCGGCAATTGCGGACCCATTTGCGCTGCTGCGTACGTCGCCGCTCCTTCCGGAGCCAGTCTTCTTTCCTTGAAAGGGCGCGCGGCCGATCCATCCTAAGTCCAAACCGAAACTGATAAGAGCGTAGGAAACAGTGCGCAAAACAGAGGAGGATGAAGAAACAAGCGACAAGCGCTGCGGTCGTCACATGCGTTTCTTCTTTGCCCTTGTCTTTTTTTTTGCGCTGTTTCCTACGATGAATTCCCACCAACGCGTTCAACTATCCATTCTTCTATGATAGCTTGAAAGGTTGCCGCCATCTACGAGCGACGGCGGCAACCACACTGGTTGTGTGCTTGCCGCCGTCGCTTGTAGATGGTGGTAGCTGTCCAGGTAGGTTTGTGTCGACAGGCGTTTTATACCGGACATGATCCTGGGGAACCTAGCCCTTAACAGATCCGCTGTAAAATTGATTTCTTAATGTACTGTGCTGCGATTTTATAGTCAAGAAATAAAAAAAAGTAACTTACCTCATTCAAAAGAAGGAAAAAAAATAAAGAAACCTGTTCTGGGCAATTTATGCCGCCTTTTTGCAGACGATGCACACATAGAGATAAGTGCTGCCGACAGATGGCATATGCCGCATCTAGGGACAACTGGACAATTCGTGTTATGATGGCTGACGATCCCGCAAAAGAATTTGAATCGGCTGGCGCTCTCTCGGCGCGGCGTACGCCATCCTTTTGGCAGAACTTATCTCTACGCTTGCACCGTCTACAAAGTGGCAGTGTAAGGTTGTCCGAAACAGGTTTCTGTTTTCTTCTATTTATATATTTTCTTTTTATGAGGAAAGTTTATTTTTATATTTTTTCATTGTAAACTTTCAGCACCTACTTCCCCCTCTGTAGTAAGTTGCAGCGCGATAGATAAGTTGAGAAACCGATTTTTGCAGGCCGTCTAAAGGAGCCCTGACACCCCAAAGGTCGTATTTGTTTTTTTGTTTTTTGTTTTTGTCAAAAACGTTGCAAATTGCAGTCATAACCAACAAAAAAAAACACTTTTTTTTTTCCTTTTTCTTTCTCGTTTTTTACTTCCTCTATTCTTTTTATTTATTTATTTCTTTTCGTTTTTCTTTCTCGTTTTTTACTTCCTCTATTCTTTTTATTTGTGACGTAATCGATTATGAAGTTTAGAATCTGTAAGTGACATTTCTATAATATTTAATAACGGCATTAAAAAAAACATGTTTTGTATTTTAAATACCGAAAATCAAAGTCCGGGGCGATGTCGCCTCCTCACTTTGCACTGAGGAAGATTGGGGAATTGGACAAAGTTCTCTTTTCTTGGTGCCCCATGAATTCTGACTTCGATAAGAAAATCGTGAAACGGTTAAAACAACTGGGTTTTGTGTCTGTGTACCTTAGTTCCGGTTGTTACTTTGCCGGGGCCGCCTTTCACGTCATGTTGAAAGCAACTGTGGTGTCCGAAGAATGTTTTTTCTGTGCGAGCTAGCAATAGTTTGGACAACATCGTACGCATTTCCTTGTTGTGAGGCGATTCTAGCTCATTCTCATCGATTGAATATTCTGTTCTCTTTCACACAGAAGACAAATAAACACTGCATAGGTAACCTTTTGCACTGGGGTACAAATATTTCTAGTGTATACCGCTTTCTTGCAGTTGTGGCAAAAATAACTCAGTTTTGACCCCTAGACGCAGGTCAAAATTGAGCAGCCATCTTGGGCAGCTACGTGATCACACTAAAGACGCAAACAAGGGCCTGCTCTATGACAGGCAAAGCAAAGAAAGCACTCACTCCTCTAACTACGCTGAAACTATGCAAATGTCTGCAATACGTAATTTGAACAAGATGGGTCTGCAGGGCTTAGAGCAGTGAGGATGTCAAGAGACTGATCTGATTCTAAGGAGTTGTTGCATCAAACCCAAAGACGGCGCTATGCTTAGAGCTCATTAATTCCAAATATTGAGTCAAATAGCACATTTAGAAATTTCTCTCGAATCGTGTACAGTAAACCCCCGTTAACTCGAACACGGATGTCTCGAAAGATCGGTTAAGTTGAAACTTCTGTGCGTTGCGAAATGAATCCCCATTGGCACCATGTATTTTGACATCGCTTATCTCGAAAAGTTTCCGGGACGGGCATCGGATATCTTAAAACTTCGCCTGCAAAAATAATAAAAAAAAAAAAAAATATTCCTGAAAGGACACTGAGGCCCGAAGGAGAACGAAGCGACCGCGACCTAAAAATAACGCTAACAAAGAGAGAGAGAGACAGAGAGAGGGGGGGTCTTCGGAGAAAAATAAACAAAAGAAGGAAGCGCCGAGAAAAATAAAACAAGGAAGCGCCCGAGAAAAATAAACAAAAGAAGGAAGCGCCGCGAACGCGTTTCGGGCGCACAGAACGCGACGAGCGTTCAAGGACGTTTGTTTTCTTGCTTTTTGCTTTCTCCCCATCTCCCGGGCAGAGGTCGGCATTTTAGGTCGCCCTCACTCACCCTCACCCTCACAACCACACTCACCTAAGCCCCTCACTCACCCTCACCCTCACAGCTACACTCACCCTCAGCCCCTCACTCATCCTCACCCTCACAATCACACTCACCTTCAGCCCTTCACTCACCCTCACTGAACCTCACGCACTCACCGCCCTCACGGCCCTCACGCACTCACCGCCCTCACGGCCCTCACGCCCCTCACTCACTCATGGCCCTCACGCCACTCACCGCCCTCACCGCCCTCACCGCCCTCACCGCCCTCACCGCCCTCACGGCCCTCACCGCACTCACCGCCCTCACGCACTCATGGCCCTCACCGCCCTCACGGCCCTCACGGCCCTCACGCCACTCACCGCCCTCACCGCCCTCACGGCCCTCACCGCCCTCACGGCCCTCACGGCCCTCACGCCACTCACCGCCCTCACGCCCCTCACGCACTCATGGCCCTCACGCCACTCAGGCCAGCTTCAGATGGGGCAATTTCGCCCATAAACTTTACGTTGCAACACCTGCAACACGGGCCGCCCGCGATCACACGCAGCAACCAATTGTTGCAATTTGCCATCGTCATCATAAAAATTTATTTTTCTTGCACTATTTAGACACAATTACGCGTTATAAACGTGTTTTTATGCATTTAAATCTCGTTAAGAATACTGATGCACCTTTCTGAAACAGTTTATTTCCGAGAAAAAAAAAAACGATCGATTTCAAACCAGAACCAAGTCTTTCAGTGTCATCATCACCGGCACGAGGTATCACTTGAAAATTTTGCGTCCCTGATTGGATGCAGCCGCTTCAAACGTATTCGAATTGCTCCGAGTTGCTTGCTTATTTCGAGCCAGACCCGATCTCAGCAATTCGTGTCGATCTAGGGAAAGCTAGAGAACATCCCGCCATTAACACCAAAATTGCTGAGAAAGATGCTCCATCTGAAGGGCGCCTCACGCACTCACTGCCCTCACGCACTCATGGCCCTCACACCACCTCATGCACTCACCGCCCTCACGGCCCTCACGCCTCTCATGTCACTGCCCTCACGCTCTCATGGCCCTCACACCCCTCACGCACTTACCGCCCTCACACCACTCACGCACTCATGGCCCTCATACCCCTTACCGCCCTCACCGCCCTCATGGCCCTCACCGCCCTCACCGCCCTCACCACCCTCACAGCCCTCACTGCTCACTGCCCTCACAGCCCTCACCGCCCTCACCGCCCTCACTCACCCTCACTCACCCTCACACTCATGAATTTTCCTGATTCAGAAACTCACTCACCCTCACCTCACCTGTGAAGATGAGGGTGAGTGAGGGCCCTCATGAGTGAGGTTTGCCGAGGTATGCTCCCGGGACTTTTCTTTCTCCCTTTTTCTCTACGCTTGTGCTGGCTTGTGGCGTTCTATTGGCTCTCCCGATCTCGTGGTCGCCGTAGTCACCACGCCGCCAAGCCGTTGTCGCGTCGCCTTCGTTCAACCCCGTCCACATGGATGACGGCGGCGCTCTTTGAGGAATATGTGCGTGCGCTGGACCGCTGGACGCTTGTTTCTAATTCATTTTTTTCTCGTTTTAGTAAGTGATTTCTTGCTTAAAACGAAGCTGTGATTGGTACGATTTTCGGAAGCGCTAGATTTTCGAAATCCGCGGTTGGTACTTCGGAAATCTCGGTACTCCGCTTATCTCGAAACTTCGCTTATCTCGAAATTTTTCCCGGTTTTTATGACTTCGAGTTAACGGGGGTTTACTTAATGTGAACGAAGTGCATATTTTACACATTTAGGGCATTTATTCATCTTCGGCAGCGTTGTATTTCACACGGCCTTGACAGGACCCTGTAGAGTTTCACACCTGCTAAGCTTTTGCGGTTGCAACAGTCCTGTACACAACAGTGCCTACAGCTTTGACGTTTGCTCTTTTGTGACAGCTAAGTAATGTTAAGTATAAAAGACCAAAAACTCACTAAACAACACCTTGAAAGTGATGCGTGAACAGCCCCACAAGCAAGCAGGCTAGCGAAAAGGCCTTCCCAGTGTTGCGAGTATTTTTAGCTAGATCACATCAAACTTGATTGCCCTGACGCTTTTGCTGTTAGAATGAAGTTACTTGAGAAAAAAGATTCATAGAGGTATAAAATTGCTGATAAGAGCATCGTAGGAAAGCAAAGGAACATAGAATTTAGGTTGTGTGCATATATAGTCCTTCTCATAAAATTGTTTTTCAGGAGTCTGTGAGAGTTGAACAGAAAAAGCAAAAGAAGAAATCGCCACTCCCAAAGAAGACCTACAATGGCTTCATAAAGGTAAGGGAACCGCAACTATTTTTTGTTTTTCTCCACTTGGTGTATGTCTCACCTCTACTGGTTAGGTTAGGTGTCATAGACTATGACTTATAGGTCGTCTGCCTTACTGGGTGAGCCTAGCTAACAGAGAAGATATTTTGAAAATATGGTTATTTATATATTACATTTGAAGCCAATCTGACTCAGAAGCACTATTGCCAACTTTTCAAGTTCACTTCTAAGCCATTTCTGTTTGTAATTTATAATTGTAATGATTTCAGTAGAAACAAAATGTGAAATCATGATTTTTTTTAATATACTTGTTGCAGCTCTAAAAATGTGTGAAAACTGCATAAAAGTGTTGGCAAGGAATTTATGCAAACGCTTTTATTTTCCCAACTAGCGTATGGAGCAATATGACATACCGATATGTAGCCAATTAGTTGTTCTTTCAAAAGGAACGGAAGTTGATAAAATGTAGAGAAAAAGATTTTCAAATTTTATTTCTTGAAAATACAGTGTACGTGCGGAAGGCATATATATAAACGCCACAACTTCTACAGCTATGTCAAATGAAACGACAGAAAAGAAAAATTTGAATATAGAAAATGTGCCCCCACCCTCTGCTGTTAGTTGTGAAAGTTAGTGCACTCTAACTGACGTCTATTTTCAGTTTGTCAGAGTTAGCCTTTGTAACACGTGTGCTTTTCAACGAAGGATTGCTTATATTGGTGAAACACAGATAGTACACTTCACATCCCCAGCATAATGCTTTCCTTGTGCTCCACCTTGGTTTTGCCATAGCCACAATTGCAGTTTCCTCATATTCAGAATTTTTGTGTGCCTTTTTGGGAACATACCTAAAATGTGCATGCCATCTCAGGACAGCCTTGGAAATTATAGTGATGCTTATTGACAACCATCTGTTAAGCAACGCCTATAATCATTTGAAGTCTCCTCAGAGCTCTTCTGGTTCAAAAATAATGCCACAATACAGTTGAATTACGTAAATAGCGCCATCTTTGTTACGAAGACTGATGCAAGCAGTTAGCCATGCTAGACAAGTGCAACCACCGTTCCCCACGACTATTTTTGATAGCCCACCAGCTTGTGATAAAGCTTAATCCTACGTTGAAACCAAAACTAGAGTTCTTCGGCTATCCACGAGATTGTGGAACATAATTCTCCGCTCTAAATTTAATTTCTTGACGGCGCTTGGAAACTATCGATTACCGGTGATTGATGGCCTCTAGGTGCAGTCAGTAAAGAATTAAATCTGAGGAGCACTGTACAAACAATTACATGAAATATCTGGCAACAGAAGTTCACTAGAGCATTTAGTTTAGCCACAAAGGGACGTTAATATAGGTTGAAGGTCCAGTCTTTTAAGTCTTACAAAACCGTTTTTACGTAAAATTGAGAAACCATCCTTATTTCCAGTTTTTGCTCACAAGTGGCTCAGCAGTGGACCAGATGTGCTGCATCACTTTTTGAAAGAATAACTCCAGGCACTTCAGAGGCGACTAGCTGAACAAAGACATGAACACGTCCAGTTGTTTCAAGTTTCGTCAACCTGAGATTGTTTTAGGAGGCTCGATGCTTCAGCAGTCTCCCTGTGCCACGAAATGCACCTGGCACTCCCTGCATGCCGTCACGGCACGTCTGGCTCACTACCTCGATGCCAATAAAAAGAAACAGAATGCTGCAAGTTTACTCAAGTACATTCGGTCATGCCACTTATGGACGAGAGCTCAAAACAAGGAGGGGTTTCTCAATGCTATGTTAAACAAGTAGTTTAACATTAAGAATAGTAATGCTGTAACCCGCTTTAACGGCGCTTTTCAGTCACATTAAACGTTCTTGTGAACTTGCATTACCAGATATTTTATATAATTGTATGTACTTTCCCACAGTGTAGGCAAGCTTTCTCCACAAAAAAAGAAATTAATATCAGTAGTTTGAGGCAAGCTCACCTTCTTACAATACTTACCGTGCGTGGAAAAGCGACAGTTGGAAAAAGTTGACATTTTTTACTAGAGCTGTTGGCACACCGAAAATATTTTGTTTTTAAATAACTCTATCATTTCACATAAACATTCCGGAGGGAAGTATCTACTATATGCTTTTAACACTCATAAAACAATTTAAAAAAAAAAAATTAGTTGTGATTTTTTATTTTTTTAAAGGGTGATTTCATTTGAATTCGACCAAACTTGTCGGGGGGGGTCTTTAGATTTAATCGTAAAAAATATATATGATACCCGAATCCTTGTGATGAAAGAAACTACCTTTGAAAAAAATTAGAATTGTATAGTTTGAGAGAAAAAAATTCTGAGGCGCTGCAGGGTAGAAAACGTCAAATTCCCAATTTGATTTTATCTCGACTTTAGCCGCCATTTACAAAATATCGAATTCTTGCAGAATTATTATATTTATTACGCAATATTTACGCAGACTTGGCTATTTTTAGAGGTAAATTTCTGTCTTCTGTTATTTTAAATTAATTTTCTAAAAAATCTCAAACATGCAACGTGACGCAACTTCGGACAGCTATATAAAACGAACGGTAGGGCGCAATGACGTGAGACAGATATCTGTGCGTAGCTATCAATGTAAGCTATCGATTGACATGCATTTTCTGGTTATCGTGTTTACCGTGTTTTTTTAATTCTGCCACAAATATAGACAAAAATGAAAAATATGCAAATTTTGAAGTCAATTTTCTCAAAAAAGCCATTTTTTATTTCGTTCATACTTTTTTAATTTATTGCCCAGATTCTGCTTAATAACCGGGTATAAATATTGCTTGACCTTTTTTTGTTGTAGTTTTAGGACAACCAGTTGAATAAGTCATTTTTATCGCGTAATACCAACCTCCGGCTCCAATATGCGGGCTTCACCGCAACATTGATAATTGGCTCAGCAATATCAGATTTCACTAAAAACTACTTTACCCCGTTGAATTTTTACTAATATATTTTTAAAAGAATCAGTAACGTCATAAAGAAATGAGAGATGGCTGAATTGACGAAGTGATGTCTGCGAAGTCACAGCTTGCATTTTCGAACGTCGCCACGACAACGTTTTACTACTGAGGTTGCACGAAACTTATATATTTAAATTATTTGTTTGAACATTGTGCCGTGATAAACAACAACAAAAGTAAATTTAGTTAACATCAATGTTAACTAGCCTAAGCGAGTGGAGAGATCCAAGACGTTTCATCCGTTTCGATCATGTCGGGTTGCATTCTACAGCACTATCCAGTCCAGAAAAACAATATCCCCGTTTATGCGTTTCGGACAATCTTTATTTTATACAAACATTATCGGAAAATCGGCTCGAATTTTTTAAATTTACCGCATGGCATTCTTTCGTCTATCCTTCATTGGCCCTTAGTATTCCGAGGTACGTGAAAAAAAAATTGACTACATTTTGTCCATCCTTCGGCTTTTGGACTACTTGTTGCATACGTTTAAATTTTTTGGGCTACGCACAGCATATCGGAAGTTGCTTTTCAGCTTACAGTAATCATACTCTTTTGTTGGCAGTATGCAATAAAACATTCATAGGTAACAGTTTAACAAAATCACTCTATTTATTGAGTAATTTATTTGGGTTAACAAGGCACACCTATAGAAACACATAATTTTTCACAGAAGCGCAAATGTACAAGAAGAGGCTTTAACAACAAAACAAAACAAAGCCGTAGATCATCTGAGAGTTCCGCACGTGCACCACAGAGGTTCATGCATTAAGACGAAGATAGAACAGTTCGCTCAAGCTGCACTTCGCCCCTTTCGCGTCGCCACACGTGCGAAGCGCGGATGCCTTTCCGAGTCGGTACGCAACTCCACTCTGTTTTCTTGATTCTGCGGAAGTCACTCACCTCCTTCTTGGTTAAGTTCATGAGAGTTACGTTTTTGACACGCCTTCCAACCTTGTCCACAAAATCTACTGATGTTCGGACGAGCTGCTCCTCCGGTGAACGGAGGTTGTGCACCGTTGCGTGGTGTTTGAGAAGCCCTCCAACCCCGTCACAAGAGTTTTTACCATGCCCAGAGGCAGAAAATATCCACTTCAATTGGGTATGGCCCACTCGTTCGAACTCATGCAGCTGAAATCTATTTTTAAAATGAGCAGGTGCCCCGTCGGATATGTACGTTAGTGAAGCATAAACTGGGATGTGCTCCTCCAGCCAGTCTTCTATAAGTCTCAGAGCCAGCAGCGCATGGGAAGTGTCATGACATAAGTCCTGTCAGACAACGCCGAAGCATTTTGAGCCTTGCGACGTGGATGCCACACACGTGAAAACAGAGAGCTGACGCTTGTGCCAGTGGTACTCCTGTATCTCGTGTGGCAAAATTACCGTCCAGTTCTCCGCAAAATCGAAGTGCATGACGATGTGTCTTGAGGTCACACTAGACTTCTCAATCCGTATGGCTTCCCGTTGTGTCCTACGAATAAAATCGTGCGTGGAAAACCTTGTGGCCCATTTCTGTAGCTCTTTCAAAAAGGCGCTGGAGTCGGCAGTCTTGCTTATCAAATTACCATTCTCCCATGTGAAAAATGTAATTTCCTCTTCAGGCACCATTTCCAATGATTCTAAGGAGAGTCTGTCAGTCGAGGGGCAGTCTTTGCATTCGCCTCTGAAACATTCGGACGAGGGTTCAGGGCAGAGGCACAAAGCGAGAATCTCCTCTTTTGTTATTTTTTCTTCTCGCATGCTGTTCAGGGTGGAAAAGCACAAATCGAAATTCGTACAGCACACACATGCACAGACAGTCTGTTCAGGGTTTAGCTTGACCCACTTTGGCCGCAGCGAGTAAAATTTAGTCAGACCTAATTTTGAGTCCGGGTTTGCTTCCTTAAACAGCCTGTACGTCTCTCGGACAGACCTTGTCATATACCGCTTCACGACCACATGTTCTTCGCCATCCTTCAGAAGCTTAACAGCATCTTTTTTGTTTGGGCTCTGCCGAGAACAGTCGAGATCGTCGTCGGTGTAATATTGCGTGGCT